TAAAGAGAGACTGAGAGAAAGAGAGAGAGAGAAAGCGAGAAAGAAAGAGAGAGAGAGAGAGAGAGAGAGAGAGAGAGAAAGAGAGAGATAGAGAGAGAAAGAGAGAGAGAGACAGAGAAAGAGAGAGAAAGCGTAAAGGCGAGAAGACACTCTGTGTGCACATTGGAAAGAATAAACAGTAGCAACACAATGGAGGGTGGGGTAGTTGAGCAGGCCAGCAGCAGGCTGTTCTATAATAAGTCAGCATACCTGAGCCAGGACAGGTAGAACCAGGGGAGACAACCGGTCTCTCTGGCCAGAGATATGAACTGGCTTTGCGGGTCTCGGTTCAGTGCCCAGCCGGCCGTGGCGGTGCCACTCTGCAGGATCCCCTGTGGGTCAACAAAGGTTATCAAAATATGTTATGTTTGCAGGTATATTGGAAAGCGATTAGTTAAGCGCCTGTTTTAACAAAATGCATGAGACAGTATTAGCAGTTAAATAAGGGCATGTTTCAAAAGAATGCATGAAATAGTATTAACCATATCTGTACGCCCGGGGGTCAATTTAAACCCCTGGGGTTGTATTCTTCACAATTTAGAATACTTCTAGTACGAATATTTCTTAGAAAGTTTCAGTATTTCTCAAAGAATCATGTTGCTGTGCAAAGCGTACTGATCTAATTTGACGAGTAAATTTCCCTTTTGGAAAGTGGTGGCACAGAGTTCCCCAAGTCGTATTGGGAATACGATAGTAAAACACGACGTACGGATAGGGTTAACGATTAGCAACGGGCATGTTTCAGCAGAATGCATGAGATATTACTATCTAGTCCAGATCTACGGATATTAATAGCGAGCTTCTGAACCTGCCTGGTTGGGCCAACCCGAGCTGAACTGAGCACTACAACACCCCAGAAGAAATACCGAGGTACTCAATAAAATGTCTCTCCACGCGGAAATCGAACTCGGATCACATGAGAGCGACAGCAAAGCACCTAACCGCTATAATACAACATAAGCCAGCTATAATCTGATCCTAGAGGTTTGCATTAAAATACAATAAAATAAAATGAAATAAAATGAAATGAAACAAAATAAAATCAAATGAAAATTTAAGTTAAATTAGATTAGATTCAATTCAATTCAATTCAATTCAATTAAACAAATATAATAAAATGTTTTTGTTCGTTTTATTATTATACCAACTGCGTGGTTTCTTCTCTTTTTTTTTTATCATTTTCTATTTGTTTTTGTTCTAACTTTGACCTCAGACCTTGGTGAACAATCCCTTAGCGTATGGACTCAGAGACAGGAAGGACACGCTGGCAGAGCCGGCAGACTCGCCGAAGATTGTGATATCATTCGGGTCACCGCCGAACGGTCTGATGTTGTTTTTGGTCCACTGCAGGGCCATCAGTTGGTCGTAGAGGCCGTAGTTGCCTGATGAGGGTGGAGATGAAATAAAATTATTAATATATTATGTGTGTGTGTGTGTGTGAATGTGTGTTTGGGGTGGGGGAGGTGGGGGGTGAGGAGTTAGTGTGTGTCTTTAAGTGTTTGTGCATGTGTGTGTTTGTGTGTGGGGGTGTGTTTGTTTGTGTGCGCGTGCATGTGTGTGTGAGAGAGAAAGAGAGTGTGTGTACCTGTATATGCGTGTTTGTGTGTGTGTGTTTGTTTGTTTGTTTGTGTTTGTGTTTGACTGAGTGTGTATGTTTGTGTGCTTGTAATGGAGGGATGGAGTGAAAGTTAAAAACGTATGTTGGGTCAAACACACACACACACACGCACATGCACACACATAAACACACAAATACACACATACACACATACATATACGCACAAACAAACACACACAAACACAGATAGAGAGGAGAGAGGAAGGAGAGACAGAGACAGAGACAGAGAGAGCGAGAGGGGGAAAGAGAGACATAAACGAGTAACAGATGAGCAAGAATAATCACCACAGACAAGAACAGCGAGCCACACTCCTTACCGTCTCCTTTTCCATAACTGAGGAATCCGAATACGTTCACCCTGTAGTGGATGGTGACCACTATGACGTCATAGTCTGTGACCATCCTGGAGGGCATATAGGCGAAGGCGTCTCCATAGAGAAAAGCTCCACCGTAGATCCAGAACATGACCTAGCCAGGTGTGTTGTTTGTGTGTGTGTATATGTGTGTGTGTAAGTGTGTGTGTGTGTGTGTATGTGTGTGTGAGCATGTGTTGTTTGTGTGTGTGTGTATGTGTGTGTGTTTGTGTGTGTGTGAGTGTGTGTGTGGTTGACGAGGTTAAAAGAAAAACATAATATAATATCACT